AAAATATTTTTTAGTTGTCAATGAATCCCCCCCCCCTTTATTTATATTCGGTGCTGAGGATCGAACCCAGGGCCTCACACATTCCAGGCAAGTGCCCTACCACGGAGCCCCAACTCCAAACATATGGTTCCTGTTTTGTCTTGTTTTTCTGTGTGCTGGGGACTGAGATGTCACGAGGTCTTGGAGATCCTCTGCCCCTTCTCTCTTTGTTCTTTGTGGATCTCCAAGTACATACCTTCTCTTTTTCCTCTGTGCTTTATGGTGAGTGATTTCTCTGACCTTTCTTCCAATTTACTAGTTTTCTATGTATCATCAGCTTTATCTCATCTGCCAGTAAATCTGTCCACTGAATTCTTAAAGTTAAATTGTAGTTTTTCACTGTTTTCTTTTTAAAGTCTATTTTGTACTTCAGTCTACTTTCCCCTTCACCTAATTTGAAGCTTATGATTCATCAGTTAAGCAGTAAAAGCACCTATTCTGTGCTCCAAGTGCTGCTCTGTGGCCTGGTCGTCCCACCCCTCGGTAGAGGTGTCTCTTTCCATTGTCACTGCAGCTCAATGCTCCTGGCGGTGTCTCCCCACATCTTTAATCATGCTTCCTCCACTGAGGTATTAATTTTCCTTGGAAAATACCTTTTTGGGGAATATTTTTAATCTGCCCTGGGCCTATTCTGTAGAGCCCTCCACCATAAAGGGGGGAAGAAAGGAAGGGGATGAGGACGAGAGGCAGGGGAGGGAGGGGAGGGGAGAACATACGTTAGAGATCTAGGCGGCTCCAAAAGCCTAAAATATTTACCATCAACCCCTAAAATAAGTTCCCAAAGGCCAGGTCCACATGAATACTAACACTTCAGTTCCACTTTATATCCTAGCTTTTTTCAGGCACTTTTTGGGCTGAAAATCCATGAAACAGGTCCACTCTTGGTTACCTGTCAGACACTTCCCACCTGCCACCATTCAGAACTGCCCAAGGTGATTCTTGTTTCTTGCGGTTTCTCCTCCTCGCTCCTTCAGTTCACTATGAAACTGAAGAGGGGACCCAGCAACCTATGTACTGTTGGAAAATTTAAAGTTTTCAAGATTCTTAACCACCCCATGAGGTAGAGGGGACAAGAGTGACCCCTTCTGAGGCCCTCATGGGTCTTGGCGCAGAACAGCACCACCAGAGAGACTAGCAGCCGGCGGTTCGCGGTCAGGAACAGGCCAGGTCTGCCGGGGAGCCTCCCTCCGGGGTCGTTCTCTGGTGAGGCGGAAAGGATCGGCTCCAGTGGTGGTCAGGGGCCCCTTTAGATCACTCTCTTCCTGACAGATCCTTGCTGAGCCCACGTTGTCTCCCAGCCATCTCCTGATGAATCCTATGCCATCCCATCTACAGACCAAACCCTCTCCCAATTGAAGTTCCCTTCACCCTCTGCAACAACGCAGGCAAGGACCTGCCTTCATCTGAAAGGGGACGGCAGCAGGGGACACTGAAGTCATCAGCAAGGTCAGAGTGAGTGACAGCCACCTCCCAAGTCCCAAGGTTCCCGTAACTACAGAGCACTGCCTGGGTCAAGGCAGGAGAGCGCCCCTCAACAATGTGCCTTCTGATGGTCCCCATCATCCCAAGACTAGAAACACGCAGACAAGCCAGCAGATCAAGGAGCGCTCAGACACTGAAGCCTTGACCGCCAGCGAGAAGGCAGATCCACCTGACGCTCCACGAGGTACTAGACAGAGCTGACCCGCTGCACCAGAGCACATGCCATGCTCCCGGAAATGACATGAAGAGACAGGCAGCTATGGCACCGACACCTGGGCGACCAGGCTTCACATCTGTAGGCCCTTGAAGCTCTAGAGACAAGACAGGGGCCTACCTGGGTTTCTACACAAGCAGCTTGGGCAGAAAGTCCCACAGGAACTGGTCGGAAAGGCTTCTCCGTTTTTCAAATTGAAGATTTCTAGCTAGGAGGAGGTATCAGGAGCCAGAACCGGGCAATTTCTAGGTTCATGAGCCAGAGGCCAGCCAACAATATGAGGGATGGGATTAAAAGCTCACTGGCACAATTTTGGGAAAGATGCCCCATCTCTCCGTTAACAAAGACTTCGATGCCGGACAGGTTCACAACACAGCTCGCAGGCCACTGGGAAGGAAAACAAACAGTTGGACACAAAAACAAAACCAAATGGAAACAGGCTCAACCTACACGGCTTTTAGCTCAAGGAGCAAGAACGTTGCCCCTCCAAGGAGAAAATGAATTGACTTGGGTGTGCCTCCTTTTGTACATACATCTTTATTTATTCTAGCCCCTTATATAGTTACAAAATACACCAAAGAATATATAAGGTTTACATGCATCTGACACTCGTCTGATAACCACCAAAAACCTAACTGTTAGAACAACAGAAATCCGTGTATCCTGACAGGTTCAAAAAAGAAAAAAAAGCAAAAACTATTGAAGGGCTGGGGACACAGCTCACTGGCAGGGCACTCACAAGGCCCTGGCTTCCATCCTAGCAGTGCTAAAAAACAAAAACAAAACAAAAAATATCTATTGGAACCAGAAGAATGAGAAGTTATACTCCATTTATGTCCGATGTGGCAGAATGCATCCTACTATCTTGTACAGCCAACTAGAACAAATTAAAAAAAAAAATCTATTGGAACTTAACCGACTTTCCACCTGGGGATAACTACCTTACCATATTGAATCTTTGAACACATGAACGCTGATGCTCCCTCTCAACATCTTGCCTTATGTCTTTCCATCAAGTGGTTATAAAACATAATATTCTCCCCCAAGGTCAGGAGCACCTTCTTGAAAATCTGCCCTGTGGTTCACTGGCAGGACAGCCCCCGGAGATATCCAGATCCCTCAATCCTGGTAATATGATCATGATACTTTACACTGGCAAAAAATAACTTCACAGATGTAATTAAGATCACAAATCTTAATAGGCATCTGATTCTGGATTTTCCAGAGAACTTTTTCAAATAGCAGGCAGGAGAGAAGCAATAGAAGGAAAAATGAGAGACACCAAGAGATGGATTTTTGTGCTGTTGCTGGTTTAAAGATGGAGATTGCAATTCTGCCAGGAGTACTGAGGGTCTCATGGAAATGAGAGGCTCCAGAGTCAGGAAAGAAATGTAGGCCCTACACTCAGCCATAAAGAATTCAACTTTGCTACATTCCCAAAGGAGTAACTGCAAAGACAGTTAGGTAATGGGTATTATTTGAACATACAGACATTTCTTTAAATATTAGACTTTTAAAAATCATTTTTTCTTCATTTTAATAGCCCTGGCATCCTTCTCATGGATCACATTTTAAGCAGTGACTACTCTCCCAATATGTGAAAAAAAAAAAAAACTGCTTGATTCTTGTTGCACTAAATATGATGAGTGACAAGAGCACAGGCGCAGGGGGGCTAGTCTACAGCCTGTGAGGGCCAGCACAGGCCCAGCTGAGCTCACCAGCTCACCGAGACATCTGGTCTACACAAGAGTGTGTTTTGTTCTGAATTGTCAAGATTGTGGTACTTTCTTATGCTAGCCATAGAAACTGCATTACTGTTTTATACTATTATGAAATGAAATCCTAAAAGTCACTATTACTTCCCGCAATACAGAAACTCTCTAGGTTTTCAACAAGGAAAGAATATAAAAGAGCCATAAAAGAAAAAGAAACATCAGGTCACATTTAGAGGCAAACCAATAAGACTCACTTCTGATTTCTCTGCTTAGACCCTAAAATAAGGAGGGCCTAGAATGAGATATTCTGAACCCTAAAAGAAAACAATTGTCAGCCAAGGATACTATACCCAGCAAAAAATCAGTTTCAAATTCAAAAGGGAAATAAAAACATTTCATGACAAGAATAAACTAAAAGAATTCATAAGCACTAAACCAGCACTACAAAGAATACTCAAAGATACACTTCACACAGAGAAACTAAAAACCAATTCCCAAAGCCCACAAACAGAGGAAGTTCAATAGAAGAATAATCCACTAAATGAGAATCAAAACAGGATAAAATTTAGCAGAAAAACAAATGTCAGGGAACCACAAATACATATCCTTACTAATGTTGAGTGGTCTCAACTCCTGATGAAGACACAGATTAGCAGAATGGCTAAAAAAAAAAAAAAATCCAACCATATGCTGTTTACCAGAGACTTGACTTATAGGCAAAGACACCCACAGGCAAGAGGATGGCAAAAAATATTCTAGGAATATGGTCCAAGAAAACAAGCAGGAGTAGCTATTCTCATATCCTCATGTCTGACAAAGTGGATTTCAAGCAAAAATTAAATCAGTAGAGACAAAGAAAGCCACTACATACTAGTATCCAATAAGAAGATA